GTCAGTTGGGCCCCATTTTGCACGTGCGCACGTGCAGGGTGCCGCTCCCAGATCTCGAGAACGGCTGGGCCGATTGTGCTCAAATTTGGCACATCGCTAGAGACCGGTTAGTAGGGTGCCGTGCACAGGTCAGCTGGAGGTACCCCCTCGAAATTTCGCACGTGCAAGGCTCACCCTCTCGCTCGCTCCGTTAGTCGCCCCAAAAGGCGTTATACTGGTTGTAAAAACAGAAGCTTCTTATCCTAGGAAAAATAAAATGGGAAATCATTGGAAGGTGGCACACTACCTTTAAACAAGATATTTTGCCCTGATGATCATGTCTCATACCTAACTGGCGGCCGAACCGCACGACCTAACCGCGTTTGTACGAGTACCACCTCTGGAGGAGGCCGTCCGCTCCTGCCTAGAGGGTTCACGGGCACTGTTTGGCCTGGAGAGCTGGTCCCCTGTAATGGGGGTGCACCGTTCCCTGGCTGGGAAGCCCGACTGGAGCAGGTGGGATGGAGGGGAGCTTGAAGAACTGGATGGTTCCGCTCGTTGACAGGAGGCCTACTGCGTCGCCATATGCGGGTGGGGTGGCCCTGTGTAGGCGTGTACGAACTGGTCAGATTTGAATGACTGGGTTTTAGATGGGCTTTAGGGTTTTAGACGGCTGTGATGGGCTGTGGTTTCCACGACTTCTCCCTCACGCGCTATGACATAATTCCAGTTGCGGCGTTTGGCTACGATACGGTAAGGTCTTGATCATTGATGATCAGCGGTACCTACATACCGGCCTGGGGTAGTCGTCCTTACTGCCGGATGTCCAGCCTGGCGGGTGCTCACTGTTGCCGCTGCGTCTGCTGCAGTGTTGTCTGCAGCCCCGGCTCGTGCTGTGACTCGGGAGGGGACGGCTGGTGCAGCGGTATCACTGCGCGGTAGGTTGTTAAAAAAAAAAACGTTTTTTTGGAAAAGTATATGGGCTCATAGCTCATGTGGTGCGATACTCTTTTTTGAGTTTAGCGATACCCAATTTGACGAAAACAAGTAACCCTTAGGGGTTCCGGTGGATCACATTGAAAAGGGAATCTCTTGGTAACCTTAAGAGCAGTATAAAACTCACAAGCAAGTAAGTTACTGAGTTTGTCATAAACTATTATATCGTAAATGTTCGTTCATTCCAAACCGGTTTCGTTTCATACAAGAAACATCATCAGTGGTACACTTCACAAGTGTCAGTGGTAACGGACAAACAGCACAATAATAAATACACACATATACAGTTGGTGCACACGCTAAACATACATGTGGTCCTACAGGGCGCGATCGATAAAAGGTCAATAACATGAAGAGCTACACATTGTAAGCAAGGTTACCTGACAACAGACAGGGGATATGCCGATGTTGTGCCATTAAGCCTTGGCTTCAGTTGATGGATGAAAAGTGATTCCAAGATCCTGAGAGAATGTGATGGCTCGCTGCCTAAAATGGTGAAATCGTTGAAGGAGACAGGGGTGTCACATGTGTGACTGTGATCGCGAATGGACGATTGTTTTGGAGTTGTTAGAATATTACCAGTGCGGTTAGAAATGCCCTTATGTTCACATACCCTGGTGTACAAGCGTACATAGGTGGAACCTATGTACGATTCCTCGCACGAGGAACAACGAAACTGGTACACTACACCAAAGCGGATTCACATAGGGACATTGTCTTTGAATTTAAAGAGACTTCCAATGGTAAATCTATTCCTGAGAACTATCTTGGGGCTTAGGTATGGGTAAAACTTCTTAAACATCTCAGTTAGCTCATTTTGCATATTGATCGAACCCTTACCTAGATATGGGAGGACAAAATACTTCTCCAACTTTGAAACTGTTGGTGCAGTCATACTGCGCTTATTGAACATCTTGTCGAGCACTGTCCGGATAATTGTTTCAATAAACTGCTTGGGGTAGCCGTTCTTTTGGAAGAAATCTCTGATGAAGTTCAGCTCTATATCAAGGGTGCCGGACAAGGGCAAGGGTGTCGTGATTTTGGATCGAAACGATTACCTGGGTAAGCTCACCACTATTCTCTCTGATGCAACTAAGTTTGTTAAGATCAAGGAGCCACTGCATAAGGTATTACTCAAAGTGGAAGGAAAGGTGAACAGGCTTTTGGCTAAACTTAAAGAGACTGCAGCGATCTCAGAAACTGAGTACGGCCATTTATATTGCTCAGGTTCCAATCCCGGCATACTTTATGGACTGCCGAAGGTTCATAAGGCTTTGGTTCCTCTCCGCCCTATCTTCTCGGCATGTAAAACACCCACATATAAACTGGCGAAGTTTCTTGTTCCTATACTTGCTCCTTACACTGAAAATGACTTCACTGTGAAGAACAGCTACCAATTTGCTGAAGACATGTCTAAAGTTACTCTAGATGACAACATGGTTATGGCTAGCTTCGATGTAGAAAACTTGTTTACCAACATACCTGTTCGTGAAACTATCGATATCTGTATCAATCATGTCTTCAATGGAAAGGACTCTGGTGTCAAGTTCACCAAAAACCTTTTTAGACTTATGTTAGAAACAGCGACCCTCAATTCTTACTTTCTTTTCAATGGTGACCTGTTCAAACAGACAGACGGCGTCGGTATAGGCCTGCCGCTTGGACCGACCTTCGCCAACATCTTCCTCTGTTTTCATGAACAGAAGTGGTTACGCGACTGTCCCGTGGCGTTTCGACCTGTTCACTACAGAAGATACGTAGATGATTGCTTTATCATCTTCAGAGACGAGACTCATATAGATCACTTTCTTACTTACCTGAACAGTCAGCACACCAAAATCCGTTTTACAAAAGAGATCGAAAATAATGGCTGTCTGTCATTTCTTGACCTGAACGTAGTGCGTCGAAACAACCGCCTTCAGATATCCGTTTTCCGAAAGCCCACTTTTACAGGCTTGGGATTGAGCTTTTTCAGTTTTATCCCACAAACCGTCAAAAGGGCAATAGTTTATTCGGCTGTGACTCGTGCCTTCCGCCTTTGCTCCAATTACAAATTGATTGATATAGAGCTGAACTTCATCAGAGATTTCTTCCAAAAGAACGGCTACCCCAAGCAGTTTATTGAAACAATTATCCGGACAGTGCTCGACAAGATGTTCAATAAGCGCAGTATGACTGCACCAACAGTTCCAAAGTTGGAGTAGTATTTTGTCCTCCCATATCTAGGTAAGGGTTCGATCAATATGCAAAATGAGCTAACTGAGATGTTTAAGAAGTTTTACCCATACCTAAGCCCCAAGATAGTTCTCAGGAATAGATTTACCATTGGAAGTCTCTTTAAATTCAAAGACAATGTCCCTATGTGCATCCGCTCTGGTGTAGTGTACCAGTTTCGTTGTTCCTCGTGCGAGGAATCGTACATAGGTTCCACCTATGTACGCTTGTACACCAGGGTATGTGAACATAAGGGCATTTCTGACCGCACTGGTAATATTCTAACAACTCCAAAACAATCGTCCATTCGCGATCACAGTCACACATGTGACACCCCTGTCTCCTTCAACGATTTCACCATTTTAGGCAGCGAGCCATCACATTCTCTCAGGATCTTGGAATCACTTTTCATCCATCAACTGAAGCCAAGGCTTAATGGCACAACATCGGCATATCCCCTGTCTGTTGTCAGGTAACCTTGCTTACAATGTGTAGCTCTTCATGTTATTGACCTTTTATCGATCGCGCCCTGTAGGACCACATGTATGTTTAGCGTGTGCACCAACTGTATATGTGTGTATTTATTATTGTGCTGTTTGTCCGTTACCACTGACACTTGTGAAGTGTACCACTGATGATGTTTCTTGTATGACACGAAACCGGTTTGGAATGAACGAACATTTACGATATAATAGTTTATGACAAACTCAGTAACTTACTTGCTTGTGAGTTTTATACTGCTCTTAAGGTTACCAAGAGATTCCCTTTTCAATGTGATCCACCGGAACCATGGAAGACGAGCAACGAAAGACGCTTTCAAACTCACCCTTAGGGGTTCCTCAAACGGCTTGAAGGGAAGCTTGCAGCGCCTGGCCGCTGCCTGGCCAGAGTCAATAAGGGCAATAATTACAGGCTGCGCAGTGCGCCCGGGCGGAAACGACCCAGCGAAGCCTCGCGCTCGGACGGCTGCGGCGGCCGGCCGGCGCGGTGGGGCGAGGGATGGATTTTGGACGAATGCCAATTGCCTGGAGGTGCGTAGGCCGTAGGTCAGTTATCGCATTATCGGGTCGCTAGGCGTCAAGTCGAGTCAGGTCAGGTCAGCTAGTGTTGTGGTGTCAGCGAAGTGTTGCGGGCGAGGACTTCTGTGTTCAGCGAGCGTCAGTGTCAGAGGTCGGCCCTCGTATTTTGATTTGAGATACGTCTTTGCGAGTTTTTTTAACATAAAATGAATCGGAAAGAACTACGCAAAGACACTTATTATTTTATGGTGGGTCGCCCTGAGCCTGACATTTCTGGATCGAAATTGCCTACTGCAAGATCAGTGTTGAAGAATGTATTTCACCTAAAGAAACAGACACCGGAGAGTAGCACCGTTTTTTGCATTGTGGTCGATTTTTTTAACGATGGCAGGAATCCCTACAATGCTGCCACGCAACTGTATGCGAAAGTTGAAGACTCTTTACGAAGAATGGCATGCAGTAGCAAAGAACCAGGCAAGGGAAGGCGATCCCGGCGGCCGCAGGGCCCAGTTCAAGAGCACTCTCGACTCTCTTTGGGACATCGCTGCCGACGACGCCATCGAACAAATAAGGACAAATAGAATGTTAAGAAAAGAAGAGAAGGAGATGGACATACAGTTTTACTTTGACCAAAAGGGCGAAAGAAGAGGATGCATGTCCGGAAAGGATAAGGTATTTGCAAAAAAAATGCCGAGCGAATCGAGCAGAGGAAGCGGCGGAAGCGCATGGAGCCGGGCTCTGAGGGGCCGTCGGTCCTCAACAGCAGCGGCATCGGGTCCGACAGCCAAGCCGAGTCTGCCGACAGTGGCACGGGTCAAGAATTACACCCGGGACCGGCGAAGAAATCTCGCCGTGATACCGAGGTAACGCTGACGTTACCCCGCGGCGCATTATGACGGCTGCGCCTATACTGGACGTCGCTGACCGACTCCGTCTGTCTACATGTCAGGTAAGTTTCAATAATATAGGTACAACATAGTTATCGGCGTTTATCGATTACATCGTATAAATAATTTTGCATTTTACAAATATCTGTGATTTATTAAACGATGATGTCTTGGATATTATATGTTTTATATATGTATGTCCGTATGATTGTCTGACTCGTATCCGAACCAACACTTTTGTAGGTACCCGGTGCCGGTTCATAGAAACAGTACTTATATGCTATTTGGCAGAACGCACGGGAATGGGTGCTCCGTACCAGCATATGCCAGCAGAGGTCCAGCCCATTAAGGCACCACTTTGTCACCGCACTGTGCATTCAGTACCATATAACCATTTTTACGTACAAAATGGTAACCGAACATCATTGCTTTCTCAGATTACGGCGACAGTGGCTGCCGTTTTAAAATCAGCGCAGCCCCCTGCCAACCTCGGCGACTTCAATTTGTCAATGGCAACGTCACGGCGCCAGCGGCGGCTGCATCGCCGGCACCAGGCAGCGGGAGCCCTCCGAGCTTCATTCACTCTGCCGCAACACGCTGTCGTCCATTGGGACGGCAAGATGATCAAGGATTCACTGGGCACCAGCGAACATCGTTTGGCCATCCTCGTCTCCGGTGGGCCCGACCACACGGGCGGGAAGCTGCTGGCGGTGCCGACCATTGCCGATGGCACCGGGCTCGCTCAGGCCGAGGCGACTGCCACAGCTCTGGACGACTGGGGCGTCAGCGACAACGTCGTCGGCCTGTGTTACGACACCACCTCAAGCAACACCGGCCGGCTTAAGGGCGCAGTGGTGAAGCTGGAGGCGATGCTGGAAAAAAGCTGCTTCGGCTCGAATGTCGTCACCACGTGCTCGAGCTCGTGCTGGGAGCCGTCTCTACTGCGCTGTTTGGCCCCACCAGGCGGGCCCGTGGACACCAAGTTTCAAGACTTGAAACGCAGATGGCCGCAGCTGGATACGAGTGAAATGAGGTTCCTTTTCATCGAAGACTCGTGGCTGCAGGAACTACGGGATGCCATTATAGAGCAGCTGCAGGCGATGCTGGCGCGCCCCGGCAAGGACCACGTCTTGAGAGAGGACTACAGGGAGCTGGCGCAGCTCGTGCTGCTGAGTGCTGGTGCTTGATGTGGGACCGTCCCGACCACGGTTTCGCCGCCCCGGCGCGTGTCACCACGCCCGCTGGATGGCAAAGGTGTTGTACTACATCAAGATGTACCTGTTCGCTGGACAGCTCGGCTACGACGCGCGCGAGCAGGAGCGGCTGCGCCGGATGGTGACCTTCATTGCCCTCATCTACGCGCGGGCGTGGCTGACGGCTCCACTGGCCGCTGACGCGCCCGTGCGTGACCTGCAGCTCTGCCGGGACCTGCAGAGGTTGCGGGACGTGAACCAGCCGACGGCTGATCAGCCGCGCTGCCGCGGTGCTACGACGCCACACAGCCTACCTCCAGCCGCAGACGGTGGTGCTGAGCCTGCAGCGTCAGACGCCGTCGGCGAGGGCGAGCGCCAGGCCCTGGCAGAGGCTCTGCTCTCCCAGCCGGAGAGCGCCGACCCAGAGGACGCCGCGCTGTGTCTTAGAGACACACCGACCTCGTAACCGACGCCAGCTGGCATCTGTTCCACCTTCTGAAGCTGGACCCACGATCCTGGCTGTGACAGCCAGCATGTGCATGGGAGGACGACAGCGGCTACACGAGGTTCAAAACATTCGTGCGTGAGCTAAATGTGACGAACGATGTCGCCGAGAGAGGTGTTACTGTTGCTATGATAGAGAGCTTCGCCAACACGGTCACCCACGACGAAGACCAGCTTCAGTGGCTTCTCCAAGCTGTAGAGGACCACCGGAAGCGCCTGCCTTCCTTCAAAAAGAGCGCCCTCGACAGCCTGTGAAGTGGCCGTGGCCGCCTCCACACCCTCCCCACCGCTCTACCCTGCTGCGTGAAAATCAGCCTCGTCACGATGTCAATAAAATCGCTTGTCTGTCCTATGTTGTTTGCTTATCGCCCTTATTGACACCGGCCAACGGCCGGGGGCTGCAGGCTTCCCTTTAAGCCGGTTGAGGAACCCCTAAGGGTTATTTGTTTTCGTTGAATTGGGTATCATTGAATTCAGAAAAGAGAATCGCACCACATGAGGTGTGAGCCCGTAATGCTAAAAGACGTTTTTCAACAACCCTTCTGTGGGGTCTCCATATTCTGTCCTTGAGCATTGCCAGCTCCTGCTGTAGGTACGTAAATCGGGAATTTTCGATTCTCGCAAAGTTGCCATTCGCCGTTAGATTAAAGTTGCGCGGCAGCATATTGAGGCGACGAGCCACCGTCCAAAAGTAACGTAAATTGTCAACAGAAATGCAAAGAGGTGTGCTATTACTCAGATTTTGCTTCTTGAAGAATCGAAAAGTGATACGGTACGTTAGGAAGGCAGATGTATTCTTAAAACGGGTTGTTTCGAGGCAACTACCCGGAATCGTTCAGTCTTTTCTTTGCTCTGTTTGCCTTATTTTCTGTACCACCCATTTACGCCCTTCGTTGCGTTTTCGCAACGCAAGCAAGCGTCGACGTGATCGAAGCTTGAAAAGTGTGTAAAAGAGACTAACCGATGAGACAAGTTTCAGCGTGTGTAGCATGGTTGTGCGCATGATACTACGCAGTTACAAGTCTGTGCGGCCGGTAAGTTACTGCCTAGAGCTCCCAGAGGGAAGTCGAAGGTTTTGTGAGTGATGACGTCACGAAAACCAAGATAAGTAGGCTAATTGCTTAATAATATCGTAATGAAAATTGTGTAAATATATTCTGCAGAGTCCCTACAATAGCGTAGATATGCATTTTGTTAAGAAATAATGCTACAAAAAGGGTTTGTGACTATTTTCAAATATGACTACGGTCGCGTTGCGGGAACGCAACGAAGGGCACATCGGAAAGACAGCGGTGTTGCGAAAACGCAACGATGGGCACATTGGCAGGGTAGCCGAAGTATGAATATCAACAGTAGACTTCACTCGTGATACGCTGTGGGTTCTCTCTTTCTCTCCCCCATCTTCCTCCCTCTCCTCCTCGTTCCCCAACTCTCCCCCCCTCTCTCTCTCTCTCTCTCTCTCTCTCTCTCTCTCTCTCTCTCTCTCTCTCTCTCTCTCTCTCTCTTTCTTTCTCTCTCTCTCTCATTTTGTAGCCATGAGGCTGTAGCGGCGGAACATCTTCAATTAAGGGGGGGGAGCACTGCTGATTTTTGGTCTCATTCTTTCCATTTCCATTTCCATGCAACGCCTATCGGGATAATGTTAAAATTGCAAAATCAAGGGGGGCACGGTGCCCCGGTGCCCCCTCCCCCCGCTCCGCCGCCTATACCATGAGGGACGTATATAAGGTATGTTTAGTGCAAGGTGCGTTCGCACGTAAAATGTTGCGACACATTTCATATTTGCTGGCTCAAACAACCACAAACACTCCTTTCTTTTTCTCTCGCAGATTTTCGGCCTCGGGCTGTTCGTTCACTAAGCAATGTGTTCCCATGCATTTGAAAATCGCATGGTAGGAAAAGGACCCATGCATCAAACGGTCGGCGATGCTAACGGAGCTGAGAGATAATTAGGTCCTTTGGAAATTGGATCTACTATGTACATTGTGCATAAGTAATGAATAACGGGGATGTATTCTGGTATCAGGCGACAGATAGGCATCGCCATTCTCTGGATAGAATCTGCTGACTACCAGCATTTACGTTAGAAAAGATAACTGAGGGTCGGCAAATAGTTGGATAGGCCCCCTCTGAGGGTAGCTGAGCCCTTCGACAGGGGTAATGAGGGCGGACCCATGGGAAAATAATAATTTTTAGGATTCATAACTCGCATCGATTCATAAGCTGCTTGATGTGGAGTATACGCCTGTTTTCTTACTTTGATAGGCTTTTTATCTAATCAGACCATTTTTAGAGCTAGCAGGATTATTGGAATTAGGGAAGACATTTGTCTGACCGGACACGGTCAACCGTAGACTGGAGACTGAGCCCAGCCAGTGGGCAGCCGCCACCCATGACCCACCCCCTTCCCCCCTCCCAAGCCCTCACTGCACCCGGCTACAGGCGCGCTCCTATGTGAGCTGCCCGATTGCGATATACGTTGCCGGTCCAGCCCGGAACAGCTGGGGGATGAGGCGTGGAGGAGGATTCAACTATCCTGAAGATGGAAAGGACGGATTGACGTCGAATCACCATTCTGTCCTGGCATTGTCTCGAGAAAGAGGTTACACGTGAAGGTCACTGAGAGTGGGGCCATGAAAATTTTGGATTAGGTGTAAACATGATAAACTGGGACTTGGGAGTCGATTTGTTGTGATGCGCTACGCCTTACGCGGGTAATTTGTTAGAGCCGGATCGGTCCTTTTTTCTTTTTGCTGAGAGTGGGTACGACTAACCTGCAATGGAATTTAACTTTACTCCTAGGGTGGTTAAAAATGATTGCGGATATACGCGCATACGAGAGGCACTGGTTTACTCCCAATCCTCCGTTTAATTGTATTCAGTGTGCACTGTGCAGGGTCTGATAGGTGGAGGTAATGGATCTGTCTAGCTTCCAAAAAGAAAGCATCACCCTAGATACGTGTCGACCACAACTTTAAATGAACAGCAATGGACAACGTAAATGGTTGATAATGACCGTGTTGCCATCTCCCCGTTCGCGAATCATGAAGTTATGCTTCCTCACTGAGGCTCTTAGGCTGGTTATAGAGCATGACGGATGTGGGCTCCGCATTTTCAAGCAATACTTGTCAACAGTTGATTGATGTTTTGTCAAAACATATTAGCATATACGGCAGTTCAGTGTACTTTATGTCCGTCTGATGTGCCCGTCGTTGCGTTTTCGCAACGCTGATGGCGCCCGGTGTGCCCTTCGTTGCGATTTCGCAACGCATGTTTTTTACGTTTTTCTCGAGAAACTTTTGCTGCAGGCAAAAATTATTTTCGATTCCATACAAGGCCCTGGTAGGAGCATAACATATTTTGATTTTGTCGATTTTCATGATGGTCAATATTCCTGGGCATAAATGGGTTAACACAGATCACCGCGGCAGACGCACCGATGCAGATGCTGCACTGAAACTTTCCGCCCCGAAAACATGGGATAGCGCACCCCGATCGCGTGATAAAGACCATGCACTTATAACTTCCAACCGCCCGGCCGGCCGCCCGGCAGATGTCGTGGCGCGCGCCGCGCGGTGCCGATAAGGCGCTGCCGCCCGTGCGCGGCGTCGAATTCTCGCCCTTATTGACACCGGGCGGTCGGCCGGCGTAGCATGGTCCTCTTTAACCCGCGCCCCACTGGGGGGGGCTATTTATAGCCCCCCTCCCGTTTTTCTGCAATAACTTCCAAACCGCTTGACGGATCAACGCCAAACTTTCAGTACCTTCGGCTGCATCAATTTAACACCTTGTGTCAAAATTTGAACTTCGTAGCTACCATAGGTCGGCCGGAAATGACGTCAGAGTGACGTCATGTTCGTCCGATTTCGACGCAAAACATTGAACCACGGCAATCGCTCCCAAGAGCTCAGTTTTTAAGCTAGATCCAATTTCTTTGCATGAAAGGACTCAGAATTGACCGCGCTATCGAACTGCTATCTCGGATTTTCAAAATTTTTAAAATTTCGAAAAGTTCATATAATAATATTCAAAATTTATATTTTTATATTTTTTCAAAAACTTTTTGACTTTTCGAAAAAACCGGAATATATGTGACAGAACGCATAATTATGACCAACTCTAGCAAATTTTAGCTAAATATCTTCAAAAATGGCCAAGTTATACGCATTATTGCAAAAAATTCACAATTACTAATTGTTCAAATCAATTTTTCAGTACGTATTTGACATCGTACACCAATATAAATGGCACCATCGTGTTCCTGAGCTCAAACTGCATCCAATTGACACTTTTTTTGTTGAAAAATTTCAACTTCAAAATTTGACCTTTTTTTACCTGAAAGTGACCTGACCTAAGCTAAATTCGACTCAAAATGACCTCGAATGACACATACGGCATCAAATTCGAAATCTATGAGCTAAATGGACCATAAAACATGTGTCACGTGACCGACGCATGATATAATATTTCCGTGACCTGTGATGACCTGGCCCTGACCTGAAAATCAAAGTACAAATTTGGTACCTTCAAGGTATCTAGAGCATCTGTTCACGAGTGTGGAAACCAAAAATGAGCCTAATCTGACTTGTAAGACGGCGGCCAGAGCCCAAAATGTGAACAAGCCAAAATGCTAATAATTTTTACTTTGACCTGACCTGTGACGTCATCGGTGACCTCGAGGTCAATGAAATTAGGTTTTGCTCGACAGTTTTTCCGGGGCTATCAGACGCCGTTTGAATTTTGACGATCAGCCCAGTAGTTTCGGAGTTAGAAGGGGGGGCTATGAATAGCCCCCCCCCCCCCTCCTAACTCCGAAACTACTGGGCCGATCGTCAAAATTCAAACAGCGTCTGATAGTCCCGGAACAACTGTCGAGCGAAACCTAATTTCATTGACCTCGAGGTCACCGATGACGTCACAGGTCAGGTCAAAGTAAAAATTATTAGCATTTTGGCTTGTTCACGTTTTGGGCTCTTGCCGCCGTCTTACAAGTCCGATCAGGCTCATTTTTGGTTCACACACTCGTGAACAGATGTTCTAGATACCCTGAGGGTACCAAACTTGTACTTTGATTTTCAGGTCAAGGTCAGGTCATCACAGGTCACGAAAATATTATATCATGCCTCGGTCACGTGACACATGTTTTATGGCCCATTTAGGCCAAAGATTTCGGATTTGATGTCGTCTGTGTCATTCGAGGTCATTTTGAGTCGAATTTAGCTTAGGGTCAGGTCACTTTCAGGTCAAAAAAGGTCAAATTTTGAAGTTAAAATTTTTCAACAAAAAAGGTATCTATAGGATGCAGTTTGAGCTCAGGAACTCGATGATGCTATTT